CCCTACAGAAAGAGAGTCTTCTGTGAATCTCCTTTCTTCCCTAAGTGGTCTGGCAGCTAATTTCAAAAGCTGTCAAGGGTTCCTTTTCCAGAGGACTACATAAAAACATGGGATTATTTTGCTGTTTCTCTCTCCTTCTGCACACATGCTGTACCACACCCACTAACTCACACTGAATACCCTTTCTGAATTTTAGGCTCTCAGTAACATCAGAGCGAGTATCCCTTCTGCACTGCAAGCTCTTAATAATATCATCACCTTTTGTAGCTCAGGACCCCCCTCTTGTTTCTCTGCGTTGCCTAGTGGAAGCAGTGCTGGTATCAGCTCACCACAGACTGGTTTGTCTCTTGGTACGATGGAGGAAGGCAGCCCTGTTAGCAGACAGCGAGCGGCAGCAGACGACAGTGACAACGTTGTTCAGTTGTAGATGTTGGGCATGTGTTGAAGCAGTTCTGCCACTCACAAAGTTGTACGTTGTCTTTTACTTGAAACATTGAGATTCAGGTTATTCTGTTCCTTGCGTTTCTTTAAAATTCCAGATTGCCCAGAATTTTCACCAGTGACAGTGTTTTCAAACAAAAGGCCGAGTTCAGCTTGGGTTTACCTACCTGAAACACTCTATGGAGCTCATTTGTGAGAGAGAAGATTTTGGCCCCATCTCATGAACATCAGCCAGAAGAGGTTTCATCAAAGTAAATAGAATAACAGTGTCAGTTTTCCATTTAAGCCTTGACTCCTGTGTGGGATCTTGGAGAAAGGGGAAGGAGGTATCATCTAGATTTCTGATCAGCTAGTTATTCTTGTGGTGAGTATTTGCGTAAAACTTCGCAAGGCAATGGCTCGCTTATACTGCAGGGACCTATCGACGAGGACAGAGAGCGTTGCCATTCTCGCTTCAGCAAGCTGCATTTCTCATTACTTTATTCTTACAGTTTCTCACCTTCCAAAATAGCAATTGGCTTTTTAATTACTAGTATATCAATGGAACCGAAGTGGATTGCTGGGAGTGTTTGAGAAATAGCCAATTAATTGTGGCTTTTTGCAGTAGCTGCTTAATGTTGTCGTCGTTTCAATCCAATGCCACTGAAGGAGTGGCATTGTTAGTGGAGCTGACGTCTACACGTGCTGGTAGCTAAAAAAGGCTGACTGACAGCTGTAGAGTGATGATAAAGGCTGTACGTTTTGATCCTTCTGCCTTGGACTAAGATGACCTCTAGGGGTCCCTTCCAACCCAAAACATTCTGTGATTCTATGATTCTATAAACTTCTCTCTTGTGGAATGAGCACAGTTGCAGTTCTGTGGATGCATTAACGAAAGAAAACGTAGGCAGAATGGTGAATGGCTTCTTGTGATTGCTTGCATTCACCCTGCATTTTTTTCTGAATCATGCTCTTTGTATACAAAGTCAGTCATATAAACAAAACAAATGTGCCTGTTATTAACACAGCTTTGCCTTCATCTGTCAGAAATATTCTCACCATCTGCAACCTTAAATATCACCTCCTAACATGGATTAAAATTATTTTCTTTGTTACTCTAACCCCCCATTTTCCCTGTCTTTGTTAGTATATAACTGTTTTCAGCCATCAGTGAGAATTTTATAAAGTGGCAGTTTCAAGTTAAGTAGAAAGGATGGGGAGAAGTGCAAGGATGCTTCTAAGCAGAATTGCTTCCATCTGTGCCATTTTTCTATCATGGTTGATATGAAGCTCTACACGGAGGTGGGAAGAGTAGAACGGAGGATCAATACTGATGCACTCCCGTTTCTTTTCTGTTGTGGGGAGCTGACTGCTTGCCTTCCAAGGAGCACTGGGAGCTTTTGAGTTCACAGCTTCACTGTAGCAAAGAGCAGGGAAAATGTAGCTGGTAG